CTATTGTGGATGTTCTAATTTATAAACCAAAGTTTCGCTTATATCAATTGTTCAAACGCGCATGTCAACTATTAACTCAAGAAACAAAAATTAAAAAATTAAATGTAAATTAATGTAAGACTTACTTAATCAACAACTACAATAATTACATTTCACTTTCTTTTGGTAGAATTTTTTTTTCACTTGTATACCAAGAAAACAAAATTGAAAACAAAGGAAAAAAACAAAAAAAAACCTTTCTTGGTCCTTACTCTCCCATGAAATTGAAGAGCAATAATCTTTCAACTTACTAGGTGTTAAGCTCATAATTTCATACATATACATGCCCTATTTACTTACTTCTTTTGCTTAGTTTCTTAGATTTCTAAGTTATTTGCCTCCATTTGTGTGTTTTGTAGGCAAATAGAGCAAGAGAGCATAATTCATGCAATTCAAGCATGTTAAGGCCTAATTTGGATGAAGGGAAGAAGAGCTTAAAGACAAACTCAATTTTGGCTACAGCCCTCTGCCAGTCCAGTTTCGTAGGTCATATTGCAAGCTTTGTTTCAGCAACCTACATAGCTCGGATGAGGCAACATTCTTCATGAAAGTTGTTCCAATGGGTGTGTACTATAACATATCCAAAATTTAGCCCCATTGGATAAATATGGAGTCTGTTACCTAGCAAACACAGAGCCATGCTCAGGATGGATTTTATCAGCGCGCAAAATGAGTTAGCAATTTGTTTTGGCCTTAACTTCCTCCTCCGACCTTGGATTGGCCCAAATGATATATGGCTGGAAAGAAGACATTCTGAACTTCAAGTTTGAGTGCTTAAAGTCTTAATTTGCTTAAGGGAAGCCCAAGTTGTAAGCCCTTGAAGTTGCTGGTCATGCTGACCTCAGGATGAGCTATTGTTTCTGGTTGGAAGCTTGGTCATGATGAGCTAGGCATGAGCTATTGTAGCTGGTTGGAAGCTTGGTCATGGTGACATGAAGATGAGCTAGGGCTGCTGGTGGGATTTATTGGAGAAGTGCATCAACCAATTCAGATTTTATAATGCAAGTGTTGTATGCATTAGTGAAGTGCATCAACCAATTCATCTTTTATAATGCAAGTGTTGTAGGCATTAGCCATATTGAATTCAGATTTGTCACTCCCCTCTCCCTATAAATACCACATCCATTCCACATTCAAGACACAACAAATCCTGAGATTCACAACCCCCACAATTCACTCCAACCATCCTCAAACACTCTCAAAATCCCAAACACTCCAACAATCACCAAAACAACTCCAGCAAACCTCTCTTCCATTTCCCTACGAATTTCATCTTCCTTAGCCATCACCACTCACTCAAACTCATCCAAAATCACCTCCATATCCTTCATACATCTTTCGAGAAGTGGGGAAGCTCTTGGAGAAGCATTAGAAGAGGAGAAGCACTTGGAGAAGCCTTGGACACCACAAGAACCTCAGAAAAAGGGTTTTTCTACTCTTATTGTATTCATTATGTTGTCTCATTTCTGTTCAAGTCTCTTTTAAGTTGTGTTTGTAGTCCAACAGAAAAGGACAATTGCCCAACAAGCAAGAGAACTGGGTTTAAGTCCCAGCTTACACAACCAATTGGTGCTTGTTGCTTTGAAGCATGGAATTGGACTTGTGTTGATTTTTCCTTTTCATTTTTAGTTTTTTTTA